CTCCACCCATTCAATGACTCAGTGATTTTTAGATCTCATATCTTTTCATTAACTCTCTATTGCCTCCTTTGTGGTCCTCCAGTATCCCTCCTATCCCAGAGACTTTGAACATGCTGTTTTTGTCTGAAACTATCCAGTAAGAAGCAGAGTTTACTCCATCTTTTTCCTTCAGGTGTTTGAGTCAATGTCACCTTAATCATTGTGGCTTTTCCTGACTACTATATAGAAAACAGCAATTCCCCATTCTACTTTCCAAAACTCCCTTTCCCTGTTGCTTGCATTATTTTTCTCCACAGTACTTAGCATCACATAGTGCATTATGGATCTCTTTGTGTGTCATCTTTGTTTAGAACTTTGTTTTTTTCATTGCTACAGGCATAACACTGGAGCAGTGTCTAGAAAGTATTATAATAGGTGATCAGTAAGTATTTCTTCAAATGAATAAATTTTACTAGACAGGTATGGATCATTATGGTCAAAGCATTGCGTTATACTCTGAGAATGCTTCAAATCAGAATTGAAGGTTCCTTGCCTGATGAAACTTTAGACAGAACATAGGAATTGTGAATGAAATTATAAAATAGCATCTGAAAAGTGAGAAAAAAAGGATAAACGATGTGGAAATTGGAGAGACCCTTATGAAGGATGTGACATTTGAATGAAGTTTTGGGGCACCTTGGTGGTTCAGTCAGTTGAGCGTCTGCTTTCAGCTCAGGTCATGGTCCCAGGGTCCTTGGATCGAGCTCCGCATCAGGCTCCCTGCTCAGCAGGAAGCCTGCTGCTCCTTCTCCCTCTGTCTACTGCTCTGCCTACTTGTGCTCTCTCTCTTTCTGTCAAATAAAATCTTTAAAAAAAAAAAAAGAATGAAGCCTTGACCAGGGATGATTTCTACACATGAACATGTGGGTGAGGGTCATCCATCAATGGGGAAGATGAATGGGCAAAGGCAGAGACAAGAGAATCTATAATGAATTTTGCAGATCAGCCAATAGCCTGATAAAGGCTGGAACAAGGTGGTATAAGGAAAGAAGTATGCAGTGAGTGACAATAGTGTAAATATGTGTTTATCAGGTTATGTTTGTATTTCATTTCCCAGTTCAGTGACTCCCAAAATTTGGGAATATGAGAGCACTTTTTAAAAAATATTGAAACACAAAATCCCTATGTGATATAATTGGCTTAAAAACTATATAAAATACATGGTATTAAAAGCTATTACAAATTTAGTACCTTCGGGGGTGCCTGGGTATCTCAGTGGGTTAAGCCTCTGTCTTCGGCTCAGGTCCTGATCTCAGGGTACTGGGATGGAGCCCCACATCAGGCTCTCTGCTCAGCAGGGAGCCCGCTTCCTCCTCTCTCTCTGCTTGCCTCTCTGCCTACTTGTGATCTCTCTCTCTCCATCAAATAAATAAATAAATAACATATTTAAAATGAAACAAAAGAAATTCAGTACCATCTCTTATTAAGGGTATCATTTTAGAGCCAAAAAATAATATGGGTGTATAAAAGTCTGTATACATACATGGGTGAAACACTCATGGGCATATACACATATATACTTCTTTTCACCATTATACAGGCAATGATTAATGTTCACATGAATTGTAGAGTCTCTTGCAATAAATTCATAGTCCCATGGATCTGAAGAACATGAGCCCCAGAGACACAATCTAGGCAATGAAAACCCATAAAATTTGAGTAGAAGAATTACATGATGAGGCTTATGTTGTGGGAACTCTGGGAGTTAGAGATTGAAGACACCTTAGAAAACATCCCTTCACAGTTTGCTAAAGTTATGGAAAAATAAATTGCAGCCCACAGAGATAACAGACATTGGCCAAGATTACAGGTAGAAGACTGTGGCCAGTGTTCAGGTTCCTGAAGGGATCTCATCAATCCCCTCCATAATGGGATAGATAAGACAGATAAGCCCCAAACATATCATTGATAATCAGAAATGAACATCTGCTCTTATCTGGTAAAATAAGATGAAATGTGACACACCTGAAATTAGATGTACTCTGTTCTCTTTGCTGTGGTATGAGGATTGCGGTATTTTCAAAATTCTGTATCTCATAGCATGTGGATCGTACTCTAGTTTTTCTCTATGTCTGTATCTCAGAAACATTCATCTTTAAGAATGTATCTCTATGCCTCTTTTATAAACCAAAAAAAAAAAAAATGTTTGCTCAAGGTCATCTGGAATTTCAGCAAGGGAGGTTATAGGTATATATGGTTTTATACATAACATTTTGAAAATGTAAACATAAATGACACACTTCAGTAAATACAATGATATAGTATATATGAAAAAAATTCAATGTTTAAACACTAAAGAACAAAGTTATTTATGCTAATAATGATTCCTGCCTCCACCTAATTTGTAAAAACAGGCTTACCCACATTTGAGTTCCTCTTGAAGTACCTGGTTTGGCTCTGGAAAGATCAATGTCTGACATAGGCAAACATTTTTTAATACCACTCAACAAATTCCGTATCTAATTGAAAGTCATTATGCAGTTGTGCACAGGTGAGATCTGTTATCTGAACGAACACTGAAGCTGTTTCATTTTCCACAGCTAGTGCTCCACCAGATACAAAGAGTATCCTTCCCTCCCTTTCCTTCACCTCTGTAGGGAATTATAAATAACCAATCTAGACATGAGCGAGGAATGGATCTCAAAGTCCCACATGAATTTCCAAAGGCTAGTGTAATTTATACTTTAAAATGTCTTTGACAGTGGTCTGGCTCTCCCAGCCTCTCTTCGATCCCCTTGCATAGCCACTCGCACCTTCCCTAGTCTTCTCACCGGGTCCCCTAAAAGAAAGTTGCATTATTTTTACTAAAGCATATTATGATAAGTCTCTAGGGAATGGAGAAATTAGAAAGTTTATATATGTACTTTTTCAATTTTAAAGAAAATCATAAGAACACTTTCCTTCTTTCTTACATTGAGGTTTCGTTAAGTGCGCAATTATTGCCTTAATTGGATTACAATTGCCTCCAGGCTAGTTTATGCCTTTTATATGATCAAAAACACACACATAAAAGATATGATTGAAAATGGAAATGTACTGGTTTTTGGCGATGGGATAATTCAGATATTTTTATATACCCATTGGGTAGCAAACAATTGCATTACCTTCCACTTTTGCAAGTATTATTAGTATAACATAGAAATTCATTTAAGGATTCTATTTGCTTTTATTGCTAACCTTTCTGTATACTTTAATTTTATTATATTTTTGTTCTCCAATATTTTATATGATTAGAATGTAGAAACGGTTAACGCAATATAATATAGCTGATACAATTAAACAGAAGTAACACATTAGATTTTTTTTTAACTAAACCATTTAGTACACCCTACTGTGTTCATCCCTGTATAATTATACATCTTCTGACTTGTCTCATGTAATTCACAATTTCTTCCTGCTGCTTAATCGCAGACTTCAGCAAGCACATTTTAGGGGAGAGACTCAGTACAATTTTTCTATAATCTTTTATTTGCCATGTGCATTAAGATGATGATTACCTACCTGGAAAAAAATGAGGGGGTGTCTAAAAGATACAGGAGTAAAGGTAGGAGATGGTTTTCAAGTACATGCATAATTTAGATCCATTCTTGTAGGAGGAAATCACAAGGATATTAATCAGCAATATATTTGTAGACTTTGTACCAATCATTTTTATAAGACACAAGCAGCAGTTATCATACGTTATTTCTCAATCACAAGAAAGAGAGGCATCAAAAGGCAATCAGGCATATAAAATCACACTGGCAGTCCTGGCCCTCAGAGCTTTCTCTGGTGCATAAAACTTCTTTGAACAAGAGAAATGTTAGCGTTCAGGTCTCAGGTGGAAATTGGCCAAAAATATTATCACACTTAAAAATTATTTCATTCCTATCATGTTTTGGCCTTTTGATAGAGTAATTGTTGCTGATTGTCTTTCTGTATATTAAAATATTTAATAATACCTGAAGACATCATAGGAATAATGAAAAGTATAGACTTCACCTATAGAACAAGCTGTAGTTACCTGTCTAAGATGGTAAATGGAGTCAGTGATAGGATGTGCTGGGTTAAATAAGGTGATATTTACTTTGCTTTCGACAACAGGGAAGATAAAGTGATAACGAGCTGGGTTTACTAGAAAGAGAAATGATTGGAAAGCTTTTCATGGCAGGCATATTGCATTGCCATAAAACACAGTTTTATTATAAGATTTTGATTCTTAGCTAAATCTAATGGCTTTCAGTTCCATAATCATCTCTGTTCTGGACTTCAGGCCAGGGTAACTGTGCTGTTCCTTTTCAGTCAGAATCAATTCCTTTAGGGTAGATTACAATGACTCCTTTTAACCCTTTAAAATGGTGTCTGTAGCGAATTATGTTACAAATATGCTCCAGACCGAGAAGTTTGGCAATGAATATCCTGTTACATATTCAGCTTGTCAGTAACAATTAACTCTCCCCCCTCTATTCTGAACTGTTTTATTTCTCCTGAGAGTTATAATTGATATTGGATAAATAAAGAGAAGTTTTAGGCTAGCTTCCCAAACCCTTCAATAGACTTTCAGGAAAGAAAATCTATCACTTCTGGAAAGGAAAAGAAAAGAAAAGAAAGAAAACAAAAGAAAAGAAAGGGGGGCAAAAAAGAAAAGAAAAGAAGAGAGAGAGAGGGAGAGAGAACTATTCAGTGATCATGCCTGAATGAAGGCTGCTGAGCTAGACTGAAATTGCATTTGATCTGTTTCTCTGTAGATTTTGTAAACCTTTCTAAAGGTTTCCATAGTAACAAGTGAATTATCCCCTCTCCCCCCAACATTTTCCAAGCATGTAAGAGGGATACAGATAAAGGTTAGCGAGAAAAAAGCTACAATATTTTTTTTCCTAGTACCAGGATAGATCTGAAGAAGTCATGATTAGTCTTTTAAGGAATCAAGTATGTTTCTGCCACCACAGTCATAAGAAAAAGTTGGGTCAGAATTTACTTACATCTCTGATGTCTGCGTTTGCTCCTGTACATGGTCATTCTGAAAAAATCCGACTTTCTAAGAAGATTACGGAGACAAAGAGACGGGTTGTGCTCCTGCTTTGCAGTAAGACTGTTGCTCACTGACAGAAGGTAACCAGCAATCACACAGTGAAAGCGAGGGTAATACCATTCTCATAAAATTACAGGGGAGACGCTACAGCCTGTAACTACTCTATCTAATGCAAATCTTCTAGAGAAAATTGTCTTCCCCTCACCTCCCCCCAACTGATATCAGTTAAGTTCTCTAATAAAATCTGCACTGTTAAAGTGCTATGCTCGAAGCAATGTTGAATTAAGAACAGATTCATGTATTTAGCAAGAACAGTAGAACTGAAAATACAAATAAGAAATATAAAAACCGTTGTTTGATTTTTACAGAAATTAACAACTATCTTTTGGGTTCACGTGTCTGGTAGCCACCCTACAATGCCGAGATTCGTATTTCAGTTTTGAAATTCTACCAAATTCGTTCTCTCAGCTCTCAGTGCACTTTGTATGTTCAGTTATTAAAGCAATGATCACTTTTAGTTTTGTCTCTTTCTCCAAACAGACTGCTTCTCAGGCAATGCAGGAATTGCATTATTTTCACATGATCTCCCCAGGCCTGGAAGAGAAGGGGCACGCGATAGGGTATCAGAGTTGGTGAGGGCCTACTACGTGCTGGGTACTCTATCTCCTTCCAAAAGAAGCCTTTCATGAGTCTTTTGTCCACCTTTCCCCCTGCCTCATTTTTGACCTCAGACCTCTATTTTCACAGGATTGTGGACATATCCTTATCTGAACACACTTCATTCACACTGTCAACCGGAAAGCACAGAAGCTTTGTCTTCATGTGCCCTGTACTCTCTCTGCTCTGAGAGCAACGCCAGCCTGGCCCCCAGCAGAAGCTCAGGAGCACTACCTCTCCCAAACCCTCAAATTGTGGATAATTTCAAATCTCCTTCATGTGCTAATGAGGGTGTCTGAAATGCAGTTTTATTTAAAACACCAAAGGATTTATACACCAGTGAATAACTTCTATGTAATAAGACTTCCTGATGATACATTACGCTTCCATCTCCCAGCTAAAAGCAGAAGACATTTTCAATTGCCAAAATTCTTTTTCAATGTTAACAAACTCAGTCTACTTACTGATAGCAGGAGACATTCTTTTTTTTTTTTTTTAAGATTTTATTTATTTATTTGTCTCAGAGAGAGAGAGAGAGAGAACACAAGCAGGCAGAGTAGCAGGCAGAGGCAGAGAGAGAAGCAGGGTCCCCACTGAGCAAGGAGCCTGATGTGGGACTCAATCTCAGGACCCTGGGATCATGCCCTGAGCTGAAGGCAGCCACTTAACCCACTGGGCCACCCAGGCGTCCCAGAAGACATTCTTCTTAATAGAAGGAGTGTTTCAGTGTCAAGAATATTTTTATATGTAAGTAATTACTGCATTTCATAATCATAGATTTCAAAAAGAGCATGTCGGCAGGTTTTTAGCAGTAGGCCCGTCCACTTTCTTTGACTTTGACCAACAACCTACAGTGTTTAGTGAGATTCTTGGTCAAAGAACCTCCACTATGGTTACATCTCACTATAAGACATAGGTAATTATGTAACATTGGAAGGATTTTCCTTGTGTTTTCTTTAATAGTGAGATTAATGTATTTCAATAAATAAAATAAGTAGGCCTTTTCTTAGTGACATATAATACCCCTTATATCCCACAACCTTTCACCTGCTTAATTTTTCTCCATAGCACTTATGTATTTGTTTTTCTGTCTCTGCCTACTAGAACATTAGCTTTTAGAGGACAAGCTTTCTTTTTTCAGAGATATATATCCAAAGGACATATCATTGTCTGGTATTAAGTGGGCTCTTAGTAAGTATTTGGTGAATAAAGGACTTTTTATGAACTAATTTAAATTATAAAGACAGGAGAGCCTGGGTGGCTCAGTGGGTTAAAGCCCCTGCTTTCGGCTCAGGTCATGATATCAGGGTCCTGGGATCAAGCCCTGCATCGGGCTCTCTGCTCAGCGGGAGCCTATTTCCTCCTCTCTCTCTCTGCCTGCCTCTCTGTCTACTTGTGCTCTGTCAAATAAATAAATAAAAATCTTAAAAAAATAAATTATAAAGACAATACAACTATAATTTATTTTTCAATAAATCTGGACAATAGCCAAATTCATGTTTATTGACTGAAGTTACTTTCTTACTTGATACAAGTACTTGTAATCTCATGTCTATCTTCCGGCCCCAGAGTTAATTTGGATGAGTTCACTGTTTTGGATGGAATTGTATATAACTCACAGATGTGAAGATAAATTTTAAATTTACCAAAGCAAAGTCACTACCACAAAGCAAGTTCTCCTCTATAAAAGTTACTCCTGCCAGAAGACCAACAAACCATAAAATCTATTACAACTAAACAAAATTAAAACCATTTGTCTGACATATGTATATACATGCCTGTGATATGAATAAACATGTCATTGGTGATGATGAGGCAGAAATAGCCTAATGCTATTAATGACATAAATGATATTAATTTTTACATTATTACATGGTTCCAGCACATGTGTAGTTTTTTTCTTTTCACATTTTTAGTGCTGTAGTATCTGGAATTAACATCGATCTGAACAGTTTTTGCAAAGGCTATGTAACAATTTAAATTTGTTTACATATACCACAACCCTTCACCCAGCCTCACTCATCATCATACAGACAGACACAGACACACATTAAAACAAGTATCCTGACTTATACTCCTCAATGTCTGGAAGGTGTTGCCCTCCCAATCTTGCACCAGGGTTGACTTTATAAGTTTCCACGTAAGGATTTTCATGTTATCAACTCTTTCCTACATTACTTTTCTCACCTCAGGGAATACAGAGCCACCCACTCTTGAACCTCATATCTGTGCTTAGTACGTTAAACCATCACAGTTGGGGACCTCAACTACACCTGTTGGATTAGGACCAACTTCACAAGTTGCAATACAGGTAGGAAGATGCGAGGAAGGCAGAGGAAGTAGCTGAGGGAAAGGAGGTCTTGGCTGGGAAATTTTCAGCCACAAGAATATGGAGGAAATATGTAAACATACAGGACAGAAAAAGTAGCTGAAGAGAGAGGGCAGTTCCAGGCATCTCATTCTTTTTTTTCCCCCCTACCCTCCTCAAGAATCCAGACTGAATACTTTTATGTTCAAAATCAGTTTTATGTTCAAAATCAGTCAAAAAAGCACTAGTTGCTTTATAAAAATATCTGTCTACTCACTCCAACATGATTTCTTTTAATGAACTCAATCTTTTTAAAAACTTTCTTATATTAGAGAAAGAGAGAGAGAGAGAGAGAGAGCGAGCGCACACCAGCTGGGGGTGAGGACAGAGGGTGAGGGAGAAACAGACTCTCCACTGAGAAGGGACCCCCAACAGTAATGGAACTTGATTTTGGGACCCTGGGAACATGACCTGAGCTGAAGGCAGACACTTAATGAACTGAGCCATCCAGGCACCCCTAATGGACTCAATCTTTATACTCCATACATAAAATACAAATTCAGTGATTGTTGATAAATTGGGAAGGATGACTTATCATCCAAAATCAAGTGATTATGTCAATATCTCTCCCTGTTTCATGGAAGGAACCATTTAAAACCTAAAAGTACCTGGCAAAGTAAGAGAAAATGACTTTTAATATAAGAGAAAAACAAATAAGAAAGAAGGAAGGAAGGAAGGAAGGAAGGAAGGAAGGAAGGGTGGGTATTGTGTGTATGCATACAATGAAAGATAAAGGAAGTACTATGTGCTGCTGTGTGTCAGGCACTGTGCTAAGTACACATCATGTCACATAATCTTTGCAAAACTGTTACTTAGCTATCCCTACTTTCCTTTTAGCAATGAGTAAGCTTTCCCCAAATGAGGGCAGATGCAGGTAATATTCAGGGACACTGCATGACTTAGGTAGTTGTGTTGAGATTATTTTATTAGAAAATAGACCAATATGATTTTAGGACTGAATTAAGGGACAATGCACTAGGTAGCTGCTGGAGAGGACTTCTGTAAAAGTGTCATTATAATGTCACTAGTTATGTATTGAAATCAAGAAAATGATGTTTGCTAGAACTCATCACAGGGAATGAGCATCATGGTTTAATGGGAACATTCATTTAGGGAGTGCACAGTAGGTGTTGTGAGTTAGGCTGTCTTCTAAGAGTTTTATGGGATTACTCACTGAATACTAAAAACAATCCTATGATGAAGGCATCCACCTCCTCCTCCTATCACCACTACCACCACCACCACCACCATCATCATCAACATCATCTCATCATTATTTTGTTTTTGCCCTTTATAATGTTTTAGTAAGATAAGGCCGAGAGATTAAGTGTTCTGACTGAAACCTCCCAGAGAACAAGAGGTAAAGCCCTATTTTGAACCAGCAGATCTTTCTCTAGAGCTAATGCAATAATACAACATGCTTTGTAAGGTTGAAGGGATCCTTTCCATAGCTGTTTCCACCACAGAGGATGAAGACCCACAGAGACATATTTCCATAACAACTAGTGGTGCTCAACTAACTCCTGAGAGGGATGAAGGCAGTCAACTGCAGGGCTTCAGCTGCTGGCTGCTGGTAGGGACATTCAAGTTCAGAAGCACCATGGACTTCTTGGAAGACAGCAGATATCCACTCATGTCTGCAGCTGTGGTGACTTCCCTTTCTCATACATGTCACCTCACCCCCACCTCCTCCTTTGAAAGGAGACCCTCTTCCTTTCTTCCAAATAAAACACTGAAAGAACATTTAAAGAATACCATGAGTATCAAATGATTAACCCATCTAGAGTTCTGACATTCTTACCTAGTTTAAAGATGACAATATGTATGTAAGTGATGAGTCACTAAATCTTGCACCTGAAACTAATATTACACTGTATGTGAATGAAGTGGAATTTCAATAAGAACTTGAAAGAAAAAAATAAATAAAAATTATAATATGTGTTAATTTTGATAGAACTTTTAAGAATTTTATCAAGACATAGC